TATGCTGTTGATATCTCTGCATGAATGCACCAGGCTGTCTCCACCCTACCATGGGAGGAAAACTCCCACTATTAAAAACAACCAAAAAACATGCTCTCAGCAGTTGACTGCATTTGTTGAAAACCCCCCAAAAGGGAAAAGTGAGTGGAATGGAAAAAAAAGAGCGCCCACTCTCTCCCACCAATACTTCCCTGAGCCTGGGGCAGTCCTGGATCTGCACGGGTCTCCTCGACAACTGAGCTTTGTCTAGACAGAAACCAAAGCTCTGCTCACCAGATAGGAATTCAGTAAACCCACAGCTCCTCATTCTCACAGCACCTTTAGCATGCTGCTCTCACATGGCACCAAACAACCAAGTCACAGCTCTCACTGTTACAATAGTCCAGCTGAAAAGCACCACCCCGTCATTCATGAAAATACGAGAAAACGGTGCATTGTGCCAAACAGGGTGGTTTCTGTAAATGAAAATGAGCCTTTTTTAAGCCCGAATATGTGGGGAATGTAAAACAGTCTGCAGAAAATTCCTCTCAATCCACTTCCAAGTGCAATACAGGCTCATTGGCTCATGAAATTCTGCATGGTTCAAGCTTCAAAAACAGTAATACGGGACACAAACAGTGCTGAGTAAAGGGCACAGTGAACCAAATGACACACTTATTTGACACGGTCCATTGCTTAGGGACAAACATTAGCAACCCTTCCTTCCCAGTCTTACTGTTAAAACGCTGATGTTTTCCTGCCATTCCTCCAAGGTTATTCAGAGGTCTCTCACCTTTTCCCCACTTCCCCACACTCACATACTTAACTAGCAGACACACACACACATAGTCAATCATTCTATATGCATGCTAAGGTTTCTTGTTCTTTTATTGATTCCGTTTCATAGAAAGGTTCATTTAGCATGGTATATACTGCAGCTAATCTATATCAAATAATTCCTCCTCTACCCAAACACTGTTGTCATTGAGAACATTAAATAACAAGCACCATCACAGACTTAGGTGCAAAAAAGCTGCAGAAAATGGATTAATTTTAAGGTAGGGCCATGGCAAGGGTTTTAGAAACCCTAACATCTTATGTTCAAGCATCCTGTTAAGTCTGAGACAATTCTGAAGATAAAGGCTCAGAAATGTTTTTTATTACTTGGACTTTGCACGTTTACTGTTTTTCTTACCGCAGTCGATTGATAAGTATTGTCTGTTAATGTTTCTGCTACCAGGACTAAATTTTAGTGGGTAAATACAGTAGTAAATTAAATATTGAAATCACTTAATTAAATATGCACCCTGGGTATTTTTTAAACTGCAGAATGCCCCAGGTTGCTATAACTCACAATTCTTCAAAAAAAAAGTTGTTACATTAGTGTCCTGAATGTCCGACTGTAAGGTAAATAATGGAGCCATGTTTTATGTACAGTAGACAATCACTTAACCCAATTACAACAAATACAAAAGCCTACAGTTGCAAATTAACTACAGCTGCATTGAACCTATTCCTAAAGTTTCACATCACCTGAACGAAAACAAAAAAACATACTGTTTTTCTCTTTTACTGTAGCTAGTGTATAGAGTGACTTCACTTTGAACATGTCGTTCACTGGAAATCAAGTAAAAGGGAAGTTTATGGGAGTTAGTGTGAGCTTCATTAAAGAATTGTATTTTAAAAGGTCGACAGTAGAATATCTTTCCCTGAGGAGCAACCCTTGTTACACTGTCTTAAATCTTTGAGCACCACAAACAAAATGTAATTAATCTATACTGTGGTGAAGGCAGACATCTCAGGGACAGGTGTCTCAAAACCAGGGCACATAAAAACAAATATTACATCAGTGGCTGGATGAGAACATACTGTAGGTTTTGTTGCTGCTGACACAACACCAACAACCACAAGCTGTGGAGTAGAGTCTTCCTGACTGAAAGGTCAGCAACAGGTATCGTTTCCCATGTCAGGGAGGACCTGAAATTTGGGAGAACCAGCCTCTTGGATGAGTTGGTGTTGCATTCCACAGATCAAAAGTATTACCAAATTCATTCACAACATACTGAATTTAAAAAGCTGACAAAAAATTAACACTGACATTAAGCGTCCTTGTGATGTTTGAACCAAATCATTCATTTTCAATTTCAGACAATTAGTCATGTAATTTAAAAAACATCACTGCATGTTGCCCATTCCTACTGTATAAGACTTACATGAGTTGAATAGGAAATGTTTTTTTTTGTGGATCAAAGAATTCACCAGCTCCTTGACACTGGAGAAAATCAGCTACACCACAAGGGGCAGTGCATTCCAATTTTAAATGTATTTATATCAGATGCATACACAAGGCTCAAATATAGCAAAAACTTTAAGCAACCTGTGGTGTGCATACTAGTTAAAGAGGATGATCTAATCAGCACAAGGAGAAGGTGGTGGTAGGTGATAGGGGGGCTTCTGCCCCGCTGCCACCTGGCTGCTTATCATGATGAACAAAAAACAGAGAGAGACAGAATAATGGAAGGGCTGGGAAAAGACAGCTTTCTGACCTCAGCAACAGGAATGACTCTCCCACCCCCTCCCTCTTCTCTTTCCTGTGAACTTTGCAGCACCCCAGCACTGAGTGAGCACTAAAGTGCACATAATGAGCAGCCATGGAGGAGGCAGAGGAGCAGACGTCGGATGTAAGAGGCATTGGGGTGGACACCATGTTCAAGTGTCCTTTTAGGGAGGCTCCACATGTGGCTGCAGCTTTTGTCTCATGACATCTCCCTGCCTGGAAGCCACCTGATTGTAAAGCTGCAGTCCTGACACATTAGTAATCTGCCCTTTGGCCCTACACGTTATTAGCAGAGAGTTTGCATACATAGCACACTGAACGATTCTGAGAAATGAAACGGGTATTATTAACAGAAAAAGAATCCCAAGCATCCACCTCACCCACCTCACCACAGGGGTTAGTGCAGGCATAGTGCATATTTTCAGAGTAAGCACACAGAAAATTTCCATGTGCTTTCTTGCTGAATGCAAACATTTGTTTCAGCACGAGATCTGAAAAATGCATTGGACAGTTGCTGGCAGGAACTTTTCAGGCGCACCAGATTGAGCTGGCCTGCAATTAGCTGGAAATGCAAGTTCACTTGGTCTGTTGTAACCTGACTAAAAGAACAGAAATAATTATAGTTGGTTATTAGAAAAAGTCAACTGGACTAGATTTCTAGGTCGACTAGGTTTACTATGACCTGGATGACTGAGAATCTGCACAGACAGTTGGTTATTAGATTTTGAACCAAAATGACTGCATGCTGGATGCTTAGTACAGTGTCACTGTGATTTTATTCTAGGCATTTTCACATCGAGTGTTAAGAGTGAGTCAGCATTGAAGATCTGTGCAAAGGCTGAGGTTACAAACTCAGATCTCTGGCTTTGGTTCAGAATGTCTTTGTTGTGCTCCCTCTTTTTCCATATGGTCTCAGAAGCCATACAAACATCCATCACCTGCTGTTCATTCTTTCACACACACACATACACGTGGTGGTGCCCTGGAGGGTGTCCATCTTGTTGCCCCACTCCTTTGTTCTCTTTGGAGGGTGTCCATCTTGTTGCCCCACTTTGTTCTTTTACACACACACACACACACAGAGAAATACAGTATATGCACATAATGTACATGTACTGTGAGGCTTAGTCACCATACCTACAACCTCTTTGCTTGTGATGCAGTATGCAGTGTTAGTTTTTCTTAAATTTGACTTTTGTGGCGACTGAGAAGCAGTAGAACTCTCTTTTAACTCTGTTTTTGGTCCCTACCAACTCCATCAACTGAGCGTAACATCGGCTGGGCAGGTGGTTCAGTCAATTTCCTGAAGAGCAGCATGGGGAGTGAACCAAACCAGCTAAACAAATGAGCCGAAGTTCACCGTAACGCTCTGTAACGCTGAGGGGAGCTGCAGGTTCATCACTATGAGTGACCTCTTTCACTCTGTCACACTGTTCTCACACTGTCATTTGATTATCATTTTTAAAAGAACTTTTAATAGCCAATTCAAGTAAAATGTTCGACTACTTCTGCAGCTGCGGATCTATAAAGTTGAAAGTGAAAATGAAGCATCTCTCTAGCGCTGGAGGCGATGACCTTTCATCTTGTGATAGCACAGAAAGACAAGAATGCATTGTCTTTAGTCTACTAATAACTCAGTTCCTGCTTACAGTTGTGGAATTTGTGCAAATGCATCATGTGGAAGTCGTGCATGCATGTCGATGAAATCCAGTCATAATTTCTTGCAGGATTTCACAACTTTAATGTCAAATGATCTGTGTCTGTCTCGCTTAAGTGGTACGTGCTCTATTACTGTCTGAGGGTAAAACTCAACAGCTTGTCCTCCAGAGAGAACTTTATGAAAAGTAAACAAAACACGTCAGAATACACATTATCAAGTTGCAGTAAATCATTTACATGAGTGAGAACATACGTCATCAGAAGGTCACAAAGACCTAGAGTGGACAATCTGTTCCTTCAGAGGATAATGTTAACCTGCTTATTATCCAGGAGCTCTCTCCCCAAATCAAAGTTCTACAATACCTCAGTCAACAATGACCTAAATCATATGGCATGCAACCCCTCTCTGGTGCAGAGAGTTCAAATGATGACTGAGTCTTTTTCAGTCATGCATTTTAGAGCATTATAATGCTGTATTCATTCAAATGACTGACCAGGATCTCACAGGAAAAGTATGTGCAGGCCAGTTGCAGTGGTTTGTTTTCAGAACAGTGTAACGTCAATGGAACGTGGCTGCATATCACCCTGCTTCGCCCCTAATGAACATCAAACAAAGGAGCATTTTTACAGTGGCACAGACCACCAAGTGTATACTTGCATGGCAATGCAATTAAGAGTAACTTATTTCTGGACAGGAAAATATTTCCTTTGCCACTG